AGGAGGCTCTGGGAAGGGAAGGGAAGGTGAGGGCCTGACCCCAGCTCTCAGCCCAGACCCTGCGCAGGGTCTCCAGAAGGCTCCTGCTTTCCCTGACAGCAGGCTGTGTGCCCACACCCCTCCTTACCCCATCTCAGGGTGAGGGGCTCAGGCAGCCCCTCATGCTGCACATGGCATGTGTATCTCTGCTCCTCTCCAGAAGGCACCACCACAGCTGCCCACTTCTGGAAGTTTCCATCCCCTGCAGGCCTGGTCTCCACAAGCTCCATGTCCTGGGTCAGGTCCTCCCCATCCCTCTACCAGGTCAGGGTGATGTCCACAGGGTAGAAGCCCAGGGCCCAGCACCTCAGGGTGATGTCCCCTTCAGGTCTGGGGTGATGATGGGTCATGTGTCTTTGGGGGGGCTTCTGAGGAGAAGCGTTGGAAAATTCAGGCTTTTTGCATTCTTCCTGAGGACTCCAGAAGTGCTCTTGTGACCATCCTGGGGATGGACAGGAGATATGGGTGGGGGAGGGGTGCAAATTCCACACAGTAGATTAGACTCCAGCAGCTGGAATAATCTATTCCATGGAAAGTTCTATCTAGAATCTGGATGAGCCAGCCCAGGATAGAAGACTCCTCGTTGCCACCCAGAAACAGAGACTTCTGGTCCTGACTTGGGGGTGGGGGGCAGCTGAGACCCCAGACCTCCCGACACTGGGTGTGGGCAGAGAACCCAGCCTGAGAGAGACCATGGTTTACAATGGGCAACAGATGGACCGGAACTGCTGGTTGGTTATTTCAGGATCTCCTCTCAACCTGCAATACTTTGACTGTCCTAGAGAAGGGTGAGCCCTGGAGTCACTCTCTGATGCCGGATCGGGAAACCCAGGCGCATCTTCCCCCTCCTGATGCAAGAGAAAGAGGCCCAATTCTAGCTGATTCCATTTTCAGGGCAGATGGAGAACTAGTACCTGCATGAAGTAGTATCTCCTTCCCGTTCTGCAAGTAGCTGAGGAGCCACTCCTTAGACGTCCCCTCGAGGTAGGCCTTCCACTCCTCTGCCACACCAGCCTCCTCCCACTTTCACAGGGTGATCTGCGCCACAGGGTCCAGGAGCGGAGGTCGTTGTTCAAGGTGATGTAATCGTCTCCGGCTTAGGCGAGGTTAAAGTAGCCGCTCAGGAAAAGCCCGTCTGGCCGCACATCACAGCCAAACCACTTCTGGAAGATATGAGAGCCTGACCCCGCCCCTGAGATCCGACCGACCCACCAGATCCCGAAGCTGCAGTTAGCCCCACCCACCTCCCTGTCTTACCCTGCCCACCCTTTGTGGACCTAAACTGTCAGGGAAACTGGGTCATATTTCTTTCTTTTAACTTTTTTTATTTATTATCTTATGTATATGAATGTTTTGCCTGCATAGGTCAGAAGAGGGTGTCAAATCCCCCAAAACAGGAGTTACAGATGGTTGTTAGCTGCCATGTGGGTGCTGGGAACCAAACCTGGGTCCTCTGTAAGAGCAGCCAGTGCTCTTAAGGGCTGAGCCAGCCAGCCCAGGGTGACAGTTCTTGAGGCTCTTCTGGGTCTAGCATCCCCCTGGGTGCTGCAGCCTTGGAAGGATATATATCTCTCGACCAAAAAAAAAAAAAAGGCCACATCACAGCAGCCTCTCTCAAGGTGCTGCTATAGGAAGCTAACACCACTTGCTGTGACCTAGCAACTCTTGCACGGAGTTGACTTCTCTCCCTTAGGGTGAGTCCAGCAGGGTGTCAGCAGGGCCTTCCTGACTCCTAGCTTGTAGGCTAAGCCACCTGGCAGGGAACCTCCGAGTTTCCTCCTCGGAAAACCTACAAGAGCAAGAAATTCCCTTTGTTTTCTGGAACTAAGGCTCTCAGTACCTGAAAGAGTCAATTGCGTTGTCTTCAGATGGTGCTAATAAGTTTCTGAATAAAGGGCAAATTGCCCGTCTAATGGGGCGTGAGGGGTCTGTACCTACGACCCTAGCTGGGGTCACTCACCGCCCTGGCTCCAGTTGTAGTGGCCTAGCTGGGGCCTCAGACAAATTTCGAAACTTTGTGCGTTGCCTTTGGCGATCTGCGTCTGGTTGATCCAGTACTCTGGCCCCTCTTGCGCCACCCACGGCACGCGGCTCGGTTCTAGGACTCACCACGTAGCTGTTGCCGTCGAAGCGCACGATTTGGGTATCGTCCACGTATTCAACGACCATGAACCGGGGCTTTCCGAGGCCTGGCCGGGACAAGGCGGTAGAGAAATATTGCAGCGAGTGCGAGCCTGGAGGATGAAGGGGCTGAAGGCTTTACCACCTTCTCCTGGGATCCCCGTACTGGGGCCCTACCGGAAGCGGAGCTTGGGGTGTGGGGCTCGGGTGTCTGGAGGAGCGGGGCAGGGGCGCGGATGGATAAGGAGCCGGGCAGGGCGCGGGGCTCAGGGTGGAGAAGGAGCGGGGCAGCAGTGCCCAGCTGGGCCTTTTCCCTCCAGATCCTGCAGTCACCCGCGCTCCTCCTGGGCTGCAGGATGCTCTTCATCCATGTTGACTGCCTTCTGTGGATCAGCATCTCCACCCCACCCCTTCTGTTTATGGCTCACCCCAGCTCCAGGGGACTAGCTCTTATTACCTGGGGTGAATAGACTTTTGTTCATAGCTCTCCGGGAAAAGCCACACAATACAACTAACGCACAAACAGGGACCAAGGGAACCAAACATGAGTTGGGCAGGAGTGGCTGCCTGGCCCAGGCACTGAGCCCTGGTACACACAGCTGAGGCTGATCAATGTGAGTGGCGCCCACAGGGCAGTCCAGACATGGCAATCTCTCCCTCTGATATGAGAAGTCATGCGGGCCTGCTACACTGGCAAGTGTGTGTATCCAAGTCTGAGCCATCTGAGAG